GGCCATTGGCCCGCTGGTCCCCTCTGTGCAGACTCACCAGTCTAGTGCTGCAGCGCCCCACGATTCCCAGGAACCGCTTCGCTCTGTCTCCAGCATGCCTGGCTCCAGGGCTCTTGCTTCTACCGCGCCTTGTCGACACCAGTGGGTCCCCCGTCTCCTGCACCCCGAAATAGCACAAACAGACTCCACCAGTCAGTGGAATTGAGGGTGGTTTATTGCTCCTCCAGGATACAGCATAGCACAGATGTAATCTGGTTACAGGAACTGGGGCTAAGAGGCCTCAGTGCCCCCTTGAGATAGGGGAGTCCCAGCCCCCTCCCCAGCTCCTTCTCCCCTGCTTTCCAGACAGGAACTAACTCCCCCTCTCCAAGCCCTGCCCCCAGCCAGGGCAGCATCCACCTCCCTTTGTTTCTCCCCATGGGGGGTAGGCTGGTTCAACCGGTATGGTACCTTTGCATAATAAGGTTTTCCCTGCTGGATCTTGCTCCAGACAGCAGAGGTCACCACAGCCCAGCAAGTACCCCCACTACGTCACAGGCCCCTGCACCATGGGCAAGGGCTGCTCCAGCCTGGCTACTTCTGCCCATGCTGAGCAGCTGGCTCCCAGCCTGTGCGGGCTTGCAGGCTAGGGCCCAGCAGTCGGACTCCAATCCAGCCTTTCCTCTTCCAGGGTGCGTCTTTCCCCCACTTCCTCTTCCCCTGCGAGGCTGCTGACTCCCAGCCCGCAAGCCCATAGCTCCCCCTCCCATGGCTCCCCACTCCGTGCAAGGCTGGTGATGGAGCCGGCAGCCCTCCGCCCGCAGCGGTCCGACCCACAGGCAGGGGGCTGCTCCCAGGTAATGGTTAACCATTACTTGGTTACTGTCCTCATCCCTCACGTTTCCTGTGTTCTGACCGGAGGCGCTGATGCCTGGTGCTCTGCGGTATCATGTTTTAACTTGTGAATCTCAGGAGCTACTGGTGTCACACACTGATTGGCCAGCAGCCGTGACACTTTAAATAGAGGAGAGTGACAAACCAAGCAGGGTTCAAAGGGAACGCTGACCTTAGCCATCCCGACTGCTTCTGCCTGCAGCGGCCCCTCCTTGAGCGCAGGCTGTGAGGTCACTGCAGAGTTCTGTGATGTTACAGCTAAGAACCTTCTGGGCGCGCCGGGAACAAGGCAGAGAGCCACGCTGGACTCATGAACCCCCCGGCCCCGCCACTCCACGCTGCTGCTCCCTCTCTCTGCAGAGCCCAGAGGATGCTGCCCAAAGCAAAGACGGCTCCCCATTTCTGCTGCTTCCCCGAGCTGACGCCATTCGCTCCAAACTGATCTACACCTTCTACTTGATCGACCACCTTCAGGGGCTGAGCCACGCCATCCCCCGGCACAACATCCAGGATTTCCTCGGTGAGAGCAGCAGCAGGGCCTTGTGAGGGGGCTGCCAGGAGGAGCTGGGGTGAGCCCCCTCCCTGCCAGGCGCGCCCACGCTGCGGGGCCACCTCTGCCCCAGAGCCAGGTCCTGCCATTAACCGAGCTTTGACTCCACAGCTAGAGTGTGGAGGTGCCGGGCTGATCCGCTTTCCGCCACCTGGGCTTGGGGCGAGCTGCTCTCCCGACTCCCTCTCCGCAGCTGGGGGGGAAGCCTCAGGACAAATGGAAATGGAGGCATGTGAGGGGCTTAAACACCTTTGAGGACCTGGGCCTAAATGCCTGTTTTTCTGCCCCTGCGGCACTCCCCCAGGGGTTGCCCACTGCAGTGCAGACGGGCCAGCCATTCCCCCGCTTACTGAGACGAAACGCACTCTTGCTGTCCTGCCGGGGACTGGTCCCCACCCTGCAGGACCTCCGGGGAGCCCCGGGGAGGAGTCTGTCACTGTTCCCTGTAGATCCCAGGAAGCAGAGGAAGCTGATGCTCACAGACCATCACCAGCTGGTTCGTTTCAACATCACCCCAGTGAGGAACAGCGTCATCACCCCTGAGAAACGCCTCCGCAATCGCATCCGTGTGCGCTGCAGCCGCTGGCCCCCCTTGGCCATGTGGGCCTCCTGGGTCCTGCACAGTATCCTTGGCCGCTGCCATCGGGCCTGCTGCGCGGGCCGTGCGGGAAGCCCAGTGCTTGGGACTAGACAAAGCCCCGGAGCGCTCGCTGGCAGGGGCTGCTCTAGGTGGGAGACCCCTTTTCCATCTGCGCGCGCTGCGGTTCCAGCGGCCAGTGCTTCCCGCCGGCCGATGGAGTGGGTGGAGCACGAGCTGCTGTTGCCCAGAGGGGCGGGGGCGGGGGTCAGTGGTGAAGGGCAGGGACTGGGTCCTCTCAGGCCCCCAGCGACAGGTGGCTGGTGGTTTCTCCACACACCTTCCCTCCGACGGGGCACACAGCTCACGAGCGCCTCTGCCGGGTCGGGAACATTTCTGAGGATGCTTGAGCGGTACGGGATGCCCTGCGCCTTTGGGGGTTGTTACTTCAGCTCCAGGGCTGCTCTGGGAACTCAGGCCCCAGCCCCAGCGCCTGCCGGAATGACCCCCCGCTTCCGGCGTAGTTCTTAGCAAGACACCCCAGACACCTTCTTCAAAGGCTTCATCATCTGCCTCATCTTCCTCAACATGCTGGTTCTTATGGTCAAAAGTGGTGAGAGGGAGACAGGGCCTCCATGCGTGTGCCCGTAGTGCCAGCCTGACCCTCGGGGGCTGGCCCCTTCCGTGCCTGAGCACACAGAGCACTTGTGGGCGCAGGCCTCTGCAGCCTGTCCCCGGAGGCCGGGCCATGACTGGAGCAAGGGGGCTGCCCAGGAGAGAACCATGTGGTGCAGGCACCTGCCCATCAGATAGGCCACCAACCAGCCATCCCATGGCAACTGCTCTCCGACACTGCTGCCTGGCCATGGCAAGCCAGATGGGAGAGCTCAGAGCAGACCACCGGCCTCTGGGCTGCTGGGCCCCTGTTCCTCCCAAAGGCTCATCCCCCTGCCCAAAGTCTGGCTGGGCCCAGCTCTTTCCGCCTTTCCCAGCCCGGTTTCCCACATTGCCCCGGCTCTTCCGTCTGCAGCACCGGCAGAGGCCTGCGCCTGCTCCAGGGAGGCCACAGTCTGAGCTGGGCATGATTGAGACGGGCTGCGGGAGATCATTGCCCCAGGAGTCTCCACGAGCAAGGAGCCACAGCCAGGGCCAGAGGACGTGGCTTTGCTAAATGTTGCCACGCAGGCGCACACCGC